AGAATTTTTTTTTAAAAAAGTAGCATTGGTAACACAAAATAACTTGTATCACTGCTTGCGGATACAGCTTTCTCCTTTCAATGACCCTGTGAAGAAGGAAGGAAGGAAGGACGGAAGGAAGGAAGGAAGGAAGGAAGGAAGGAAGGAAGGAAGGAAGGAATGTTTTCATAGAATATCTTACAATGCTTGTGGCAATACTGAACCTTTATTTGAAAGACTTAACTGTCTTTAAACCAAAATAAACACTGATAAATCTCCCATATTTGATGTCTTTTTCAAAAGATGTTTTAGATGAGAGCCAAATGTGATCAAGGAGAATAACAGAATAATAGAATAACAGAGTTGGAAGGCACCTTGGAAGTCGTTAGAAAGAGAAAAATGGATATTTAAACTATGTGCATTAAATTATGTTACAGACTTCTTCCTTTGGTTCTGTCAGATATTTTAGTTACTATCTTCATGATTACTACCAGTTTTATCTTTTCCCTAAATACCATCACAAATAATTAATAGCAATCCTGCTGTTTCCTTTCATAAATAATAACATTATTACCATGTTTCCCTGATAATAAGTCCAATTGGGCTTTTGAGTGCATGCACTAAAATAAGCCCTCACCTGAAAATAACCCCTCCCCGAAAATATTGCAACACAGCAGCAGCCATAAGATGACCACACTCGTCACCTCTTGCACTTCAAAAATAATAAGACCTCCTGAAAATAAGGTCAAGCTCTTATTTCAGGGGTTAAAAGAAAATAAAACCCTGTCTTATTTTCGGGGAAACACAGTAGCATGCACTATCAAAAGGCTACATACAATATAGGACATTAAGCTGGGCTGACTATCTAAATCCTGAAGCTCTCTAGATACATGGCCTACACCTTCTTCTACTTTGATCATAGAATTACACAGTTGGAAGAAGAATTGAATCTACTTTTTTTAGTTCAGTAACCCAAATTAAAGTATTCCATAGAAAATATATTTATTTTAGTGATCAGATAAAAGAAAACACATATAAACTAAATATAGCAAAGAAAAAAGAAAAATAAACCAAGCCACCTCCCCATCGACATAGCCATCAGAAATGGGAAAAAAATGAATATTTGTATGAATGTATTTTGAATTCCAATAGTCTAAAGTATTAAACTAATTCTTAAATATTATATTAAAGAATGGGAAATAGTATTTCATTTGTACACAAGATAAGTGAATCAGTATGACAATATCAGACATACATGCAATAGTCAATATTTTGTACACATTCATAGAACTATACAGAACTTTGTTATGTTGTGGGTGATAACACTTTTCTTGTCTGCTAAGAGGCAATTGTCATGAGGTTCCTTGGGATAATTTGGTGCATATAACAGTGAAGGGAACATGACTCTTTTTCAGATATCATTATACAAGGAGCAGTTTAGCAGCAGGTGGAGAATAGATTAAACTGAACTATTATCACAAGGGCTAATCATAGTTGTTTAAAAAATTAAATCTCCAATATAAAAGTGCTGAGGGTAGAGTATTCTACCCGATTCTGATATACGTTACTACTAGGGGTGGGTTCCGGCAGGCACTACTACCGATTCGCTTACATGTGCATTGCGTATGCATGCACAATGCAATTAAAATTGTTCTGCGCATGTGGAGAACTGAAAAACAAGATGGCGCTGCCAGTGGCGTCGCCTGGGGAACCAGTTTGGGAGTATGGCAAGCCTGGGTGGGTTGCTGCCAGTTCCAGCGACCCAGGCTGCCAACCACTACCAGTTTGGCCGAACCGATAGGAATCCACCACTGGTTACAACAACTATTATTTCTTGACCTACACTCCAAGAAAAGAGAGCTGATCATTGCTTTCTTCTGTGTCCTTCTTCAGATACTTGAAGAGGTCTTTCATATCCCCATCCATCATTTCTTAAAGTTAAATGTTCATTTCCCACCCTTCAAGGAGCTTAATTCTGTCTTCTGATTTTCAGTCCTAAATTTATCAGTGGGTCATGAAATGTGTTGCCCTTGAAATTTTGATAAGCGCTCAAAATTGTAGTTTGAACATCACAGAATAAAATGAAACTATCGTTTTCTGTGATTTGGACAATACACTTTTATTCACATAGTCTAAATTTGTTCTTGCCTGTTTTGCAGGCATGTCAGACCAGGTCATATTCAGCTTTTGATCAATTCGAATTCCAAGATCTTTTTCACTTTTACTGTAACTAAGCCAAATGTCCTCTGTTCTATCTGATTTCTTTTTCCTGAGTGGAAAAGGAAGTTGTTCTTTCAGGTTCATTTCTCTGACTTATCAAGATTCTCTTGAATGTTGCTTCTGTCTTCTCGAGTATTAGTTATCCCCCCTTGCCCCAATCTTGTATTATTTACAGATCTGATAAACATTTCCTTCCCAACTCTTCATCCAAGCTGCTAATAAAAATGTTGACAAGTACTAGGCCAAGGGCTGACTTAAGAGACCTTCCAAACAATATCCAAGACCTCAAAACTTCACGGTAGAAAAAGCCAACATGGCTGCTCAAAAATACTTTGTGAGGACATGAAAAGACATTCATTCAATAGCAACAGAGACTGTTATTAGAGTTCATCACAAAATCAGCCAGATGTTTAGACTGGATTTAGCATTTTTATCAATCTATCAAGTACTTCCTAAGAATCTGGGATCGGCAGATGTTGTTTCATGGTATTTAATCACAGGTTGTAAACTGTGCCAAGTAAAGCTGCCTTTTCCAATTGACTGATGGTGATTTTTGTCAATGCTGATGGAGTTCAAGTGGTGCTCCAGCTGTTTTGAGATTGCACCTATTACTATTATTATTAAATTTTTATCCCAACTTTTTCATATATACAACTCAAAGCAAACATATTCAATACTCCTGCCTCCTATTTTCCTCACAATAGCAACCTAAGTAAGGTGGGTTGGGTTGAAGATACACAAACACACTAAAGTGCGCTGTTGTTCCAAACAATCATCATACTTGCCTTAATCTTCTGAGGAGCCATTAGTCTGGCTTTGTTGCATTAGCAAGTATCTATTTTACTACATGCTGGAGCATTTTATCCCTTTTGCTTTCTAGCATGGCAGAAAGGGAAGAGAAAGGAGCTGGTATGGGGGAGAGTTGGAAATGTGAGGATAGAATTCATAACAAAAAAAATATTGTAGAGGTCATAGCAGGGGGAATGGAAGTACTTGTCAAGCTTCTGAAAAGACATTAGACCTACTAGAACCTTGGCAACTTTAAGGCTTGTGAACTTAAACTCCCAGAATTCCCCGGTCAGTCATGTTAGCTGGGGTTAGAGTTAGGGTTTGGGAGTTGAAATCCACAGTCTTAAGGAAACAGAAATCATGCCCAGAGGTCTTAGGGTTCATGAAGGGACACCTTAAATATCTAAAGAGAGTTTTACAATAGCTGAAAATAGCAGACATTATACGAGCATTTTACCAAACACAGTAATCAGCCACCTCTAGGTTCAGATTCCATCATTCATAGTAACATAATGTTAATGTTAGCAATAATTATTTTGACTTCTTGTGGCATCTTTTATACAAAATTGCATTGCACTTAAAGCATTCACACAACCAAATCAACCATTAAAATAGTTGAAAGCAAATCAACAATATTTAGTGTGCATTTAATAAGAAAAATAATTTAGCCTGAAATCAGCTCTTTGTTGCAATAGGAACCAACCTATTAATACATTTAAATTCAGTCTCAATCTGAGTGATGTTTAACTCCCAGAACTCCTAGCAGCATGCTAATTGGAAATTCTGAAAGTTTGATGTCGACACATCACAATGAAGCAAGTTTTGGAGAAATATTCTAGGGTGTTTTAAATGGAAGTTGGTGGTATGCACAGCCTACATCTAGTACACACATACACACACATACACACATACACACACGCACAGAAAGTTAATCAATTTCCACTGTATCCTAAAATCATGGGGGAATTTGTTCCTCTCACCATTGAAATGAAAGTTAGGTAAAGCTTTCTTTAATCCTTTCAGGTGTGGGGTGATTATTATATGAGGAAATGCCAGCTGTAGCAAATATGTTATTACTGCACGTTTAGAAAAGTTTGTATTGTACCAAAAATGAGCTTATAATTCCCCAGAAATTAGAATTTATTCTTTCTTGCTCTTGCTGCAACATGTATTTTAATTTGGTAATACTACCAAATTAAGCAATAGTTACTTAAGCTTCTTGTTGTGTCTCTTATACAAAATTACACTGAATTAAAAAGATTCACACAATCAAACCAACAATTAAGATAGCAGAAAGTAGATCCAGAAGAGTAGGCATTTAGTAAAAAATAATAATCAGTGTGTCACCAGCTCTTTATTGTCTTTACTGTACATTTTGTTCTTTAAATTATTCCACACACACACCCCGCAGCAAATTCCATAGTTGCTCTGATTTCACAGTGACACAAAGAGTGAAGCCACCCTTTTGAAGAAAATTTCCTGATAATAGCTCACTGCCTTTAGGGAAGCAACAACATATAGAATGTAGCAAGTTCATCTCATAAGTTGGCAGATCCTGGTGCCAGTCTATTAATACTATACATTTAAATTCAGTCTCTATCTCATGATGTCTAACTCCCAGAATTCTTAGTGGCATGCTAACGAAGTACTAATTATACCAAACACATTAACTTTCTATTTATTCTACTAAAGAAGATTGTGTAGGTTCATAAAAGCTTCCCATAACTCTGATCTCTTGATTGGAATTGTCAGTAATGCCTGTAGATCTGGAAATATATTATAATATATAAAACATAATCTTAGGGTTATATAAGTTCTGATGTACAACGAAGGAGAATGTTTGTAGCTCAGAGTTGAAGTGAGTGGTCCTTGGTGCTCTCTGAGCTTGCTTATGTTCTTGCAGACATTTTATTACCCAAACTAGGTAACATGATCTATGCTAATGTCTAAGAAATATAGCCATACTGGACCATGCCAGGCTCCAATTAATCTAACATTGTTTTCTTACACAGGGTCAAATGACTATTTCTGGAACCCCAAATGCAGAAGACAAAAATGATGATAGTCTATGCCTAGTAAGTGATAAATATTTTTGGCTTGTAATGTTTTGTGTGGTCCTTTTCTTAGTATTTATTGTTCATCTTTCAGCTGAATTTCCATCTTGCGGTTTTGCAAAGGATTCTCCAAACGTCTGAAGGCACATAATTACAAATTAAAACCCACTTTAAATAAGAAGGCAAAAGAAATATAAACTCTAATTGGAAAGTCCTGGTCTTCAACAAAGAAACAAATTCAGAGAACACCAATTGGGACGAGCAGGGCACAAAGTATAGTAAGAAGGAATGGAGGACTGGATATGTTTAGCCTTCAAAGCAAAGATTTAACGCAAACAGGGACATGTGAAAGTTGTCTTCAAAATCTGATATATGTCATATGGAAGACTGCCAGGACCTGCTCTCTATCATCTTAGAAAGCCAAACATGAAATAAAATGTACAAATTGCAAACTGGCAGATTTTGATTAAATATTGGGACAATATCCTAGCAATAAAAAAAATAGTGTTATAGTGGAATTAATTACCTGCAGGAAATGGAGCAAAGACAGACTTTGCTGAATGATAGGGACATCTTGGGAAGCCATGGACGAGTGGATAAAAGAAAGATCCAAATGAAGTGTGCAACTAACTGTTTTCCCAAACCCCAGCCTTTATAAAGTGCATGAGTGTGAAAATGGGGCAGAGCTTCTTTCATTGTTTGTTTATCTCTTGACATTTTGACTTCTTCCTTGCACTTGCTCTTACAGCAACTTGTAATTTAATTTAATACTATCAATAATTATTTAAATTTCTTTTATACAAAATGTATTAAAAACATACACACAACCAAACCAACCATTAAGTAGCAGAAAACAGATCCAGACTATAGATAGTCCTTGATTTTCGGCCTCCTTTAAGTGCATCACTGCAGTTGTTAAGTTAGTAACTATGTTGTACAGTGAATTTGGCTTCCCTGTTGATTTTCGCAAAGGTCGCAAAAGGTATTTTGTAACAATTGCAACCATCGGACATACATGCCAGTTACCAAGTATCCAAATTCTGGTTGTGTGACTATGGGGTCATAAGTGTGAAAAATGATCATGTCAACTTTTTTTTCAGTGCCATTGTAACTTCATACGTCACTAAATGAATTGTTGCAAGTTGAGGACTATTTGCATGCAGTAGGTATTTTGTAAAAAAAAAAATTCAGTGTGACACCAGCTCTTTATTGTCTTTACTATATTCTTTCATTTTACTTGTTCTTAATATTGTTTTCCTCACCAAATTTCATGGTTTCCTATGTTTTCCCATAACATAAAATGTTTGCAGTTAAGCCACTTGTTTTAAGATTGTCTCTGGATAAAAGCCTCCTGCCTTTTGGGAAGAAACACTGTATGGAATATAGCAAGTTCATTCCATAAATATCTGAAAGGCAGATTCCTATAGGAGTCAGGCTATTAATACATTTGAATTTAGTTTCAATCTCAGTGATGTTTAACTCCCAGAACTCCTAGCACCATGCTAATTAGAAAGAGTTTGATGTCAACACATCATCAATGGTAGCAGGTTTTGGAGTAATAGTCTAGGGTTTTTTAAAGAGAAAGTAGGTGTATGCACAGCCTGCAGCTTGTTCACATACATATATACAATAAGGAAGTTCATCCATTTCCACTGTATCCTGTAATCATATGGGAATTTGTTCCCTAAAGCAAAGAGACTGAAGTGAAGGGTGTTTTATTTTAGTCTGCTAGGTGTAGAATGGTTATAATGAAATGCCATCTGTAACAAATATGCTATCAGTTCATCTTTGGTCCGCTTCCTGGGTTAGGTGTTATATCAATGGTGATAAACTGATTGATTAAGGTGACCAGATTTTCAGATTGGTAAAGAGGAACACCTTTGACCGGGGGGGGGGGATTAAAATTTTTATACGGAGCAACAAAATTTTTCATACAATGCAAAAAGAGTATTGTAATTTTTTTTAAATTTCAACATAACTACAATTTACAAATATAAATTGTAACTGTTGCCAAACATC